TACATTAATCTGGAGACGTGTCAGACTACTGTAGTTTGTTCAGTCAAACATTTTATGGCTTACTATTTAGTTATCTTACCATTACCGATGTAACATCGATATACTTCATAAATTCCCAGTTTCTTTCTTGCTGTACGTCGCAACCAAAAACACTTGTCAAATTAACCAAATTATTACTTTAAACAGTTCCATAAATGCTCCTATCTCTGAGACTTTTAGTTCACAAAAAAATAACTCTTGCATGCCTTGCATGCCTATGTTTACTAGCTTGTTGTCAGTGATGAAACTCTGGCGACACAACTCTCACATATTGTAGTTTTGAGGAAAATTAGTCCCAATGTCGAAAAAGCTCAGCAAGCTATTGAGATAGAAACATAAAACTGTGTACTTGCATTCAATGCCCATCAAAATGGCGGTGTTTTCTTCAAAGGCTGAACATCCAAAATGACACGGATTTTATCGATTCCCTTTGCTAAACATTCACAACTCTCACACAAGGAATGTTCGAGAGCAAAGGCTTGTAATGAGTCTTTGAAAGTCCTAGATATTGATTGATGGAACCAAGAACCAGGCTTTTCTAAGAGTCCATATTTTTTTCGCGATTCTTTTTTACGATTTTGGCGAAACAATAGAATCGTGACATCAGAGCTTCTTCCAAAACTGGCATACTACCGGACTGATGATTGTGTTCTATAACTATTAAGCTTTCAGTATAGGTTGACGGGGTTTTCTTTCAAAGTGGCAGCGTAAGAGTGCGATTTCCAAACACTGTCAATCCACTTTCCATGATACCTTAATCAATTTTACCTACAAAAGACAGGAATAAAACTGACAATGAATTGATGGGGTTTGGTGCTATTGATTTTGGAAATACAAGCTTCAACCACACTGTACAGATTCAAGATACATGTACTTTATTTTATTTTTTTGCAGGGACTGGGATTTAGACCGTAGAAACTCAAGCATTTGTAGATATTTGTGACAGGCTGTTTTTAGCATTTTGTTAATATCCGAGTTCTCTGTTCACGCAACTCACTTGCATTGAAATCAAATTTGAGTATGAGTAACAAGCTTAAATGTTGAAGTGACAGGTTGAATCAGTCATACAGAAAATCTACAGATAATAAGTTGATTAAAAACTAACCTGTAAAGTGCTTCTTCTTCAAATAAGCAAACAGGTGTAACTCCTAATTAATTGTTAGGTCTATGATCAATATCTCACTGTTTATATACCACCATGGGTCAGATAAGGGCATCAGGTCATTAGGGCATCAGGTTATTCTCGCTGACTGGTTTTCGATTCCTCTGATATCAGTATCATTTCATTCCATGAAATGAAGCAACAAACCCTTTTAATAAAGGGTTGTAACTACTGGATCACAATGAGCCAATTAAAAACTATCATATAATGCGCACTTTCCCAGAGTAAGGAAACAAGTGTAATCTACAAAAATCAATTGTCAATAAGGGTTGAATCAGGCCAGATCGAAGTAGATCAAATTTTATAAGTAAAAATGTATCCTGTCTACTTGATCTAGCATTACACAAGTGCATTACACTTGTTTGGTTTGGCAGTGCATTTCTTCGCACTAAACAAGTTACACGAGGAAGCCCAGGCTGGGGCCTTTGATATAGACTGTGATCAGAAGGAGTCACATATCTTGACTATGCCATTGTGTGGGAAAGACGTAAACACTGGCTAATGGTATTCGCGAATACTTTAGCATTGACTGTTGATGTCTTAGTTCTGGTTGGCTGTTGTACAATTTAGCCAAGTGATAATTCTAATTCTTCAGTACTTAGTCAACATGAATATACGAGGTCACAGTCTATTTATGTTAATGAAATTTACACACTTGACTCAAAATTTGATGTATATTAAAATCAATTGAAAATGAAAGACTGCAATATTGTAGTACTGAATGGACAAAATAAACCACAGAAACATTTCCTGTATGCAACAGAATGTATTGGTTGTTTTTTACATGTCATATTATGATGTCAAAACTGATTAGAATTAACTGAAACAAGGTGTTCAAGAATGGAATCACCTTTCTGGTGCCATTGCCTGAGGTAGAGATTTGAAAATAAAATCAGAAATTAGTTTTATTTAGCAGTGTTACTCATTTAAACTTCTTTTATAGACATAAAATAGCTAATTCATGACGTCATAACTCAGTTGTATTGTTGAAACAATATTTATTGGTGCAAAGTTTTTTGATTTAGTATGTTCCAAACTATAGATCGCTAGATTTCAGCAAAGAAAGCAAAATGATCATGAAATTCGCACAGGGGTCAGTTTTTTGACATATGGCCTCGGACTAATATATGCCTGAAGGCGGTTTACAGTCAAACTCACAAAACCGTGAACACCCAAAATATGTCTGGAATGTTTATTGTGTTATAACCAATCTCACTCATGATTGGTTATAACACAATGAACATTCCAGACGTACTTAAGGTGTTCGCGGTTTTGTGAGTTTGACTGTAAATGTGGCAGTGGAGCCGTGCTTAAAGGAGCTCAGTCATGGTATTTTGAGTTATTTTGGCCACATACAAAATTACCTTTAAATGGTAGGAAACCTAAAAATAACAGTTTAATAAGATAGAAAAACACCAAAGACATAGTGATAAACCATAAAGGAACACGGATGGCTAAGGATGGAGAAGATTAACACGGATTACAAACAACAAATTTGAAAAATTGAGGCTAAACTTTTCAATATGCTCAAACCATGACTGAGCTCCTTTAAAATGAAAATGAAAATTGATACTCACAACTCTCTTGATCATCATTTTCATTTTCATTTGAGTGTCGTAAAAACCAAAACCAAACCAATTACTTACCAATTAGACTACGCAGCCAATCTCAAATCATAGTAAAACCAAAACCAAAACCAAAGTAATTGCCTGATTACTTTTGACACTGAATTGAAAACCACTCTATTGATTGGAATCAATTATATCGATTATCAATTTTCATCTATTGGGCATGCCGGGATTTACTTTGACACTTCCAAGGATACTTGCAAAGTTACACATCTACACAGTGACATAAGCACAAGATTAAATAAACAAAATTTAAATACAGAAATAAATAGGGAAAGCTCAAATAAAATGGAAACAAATTACAGCAAATAAAAGTTTGAGGGACTTGAAAAAATGTGATTAATCTGTACAAGAAAAAAATCCAGTGAAAGACAACTGCTGGCCCAGGAAACAAAATTCATGCTACATACAGTGTGCCAAAAAAATCGAGCTTTAGGCTATTTCAGACCTCTGTATCTGGGCAGGTTCAGTGCACTGCACGAGTTGCACCACAGCTCAGCACTATCAACCAATAAAAATCACTGATCAATTTAACTAACAGGTTCCATGTTGCTGTGCATCTGTTCTGTAATCGATCACAGGGGACATCACAATGTGGCAAGAACATCATTGACACACTAAGCTATCTCCTTGAGTGCCATTTGTTTTGCTCTTACCATATTTTCATGTTATGTAAACATCATTGACACACTAGGCTATTGCCTTGTTTGCCATTTGTTTTGTTCTTACATTGTACTGCATTTTGGTGTCATCTCAACATCAGGTGACTTACTAGGCTATTGCCTTGTTTTCCATTTGTTTTGTTCTTACATTGCACCACATTTTGATGTCATCTGTGATCAAAAATATTTATATAAATTATTCTTCATAAAAACATGCTAATTAATGTTTAAAAGAGGAAAAATTACACTATTTAGCAAGAACCAAAACCTCTTTAACTGAAAATAATGATTCTGACAGTAAACTTTCACAAAGATCTCTTCTCTCTAGAGTTAAAACAAGAATGGATTTTTCCTTCACCATTGCACATTCTTTGTGAAAGTCGACAAAAGCAGGAAAACTTGCAAAAGATTAACTGATTCCTTGTGCTATACAGAGATATTTTCTGCTGCAAAACAATATCATTAAAATGTAGCCAATTAGTTAGTGTTGTGCCAGCTGCCAGCTGATGAGATGAGATAAATGAGATGTTTTTGTTATTGCAGTGTAGTTGTCTATCAATCAATCAAGCAATTAATCAGTCAGTCAGTCAGCCAGCCAGCCAGCCAGTCAGTCAGTCAGTCAGTCAGTCAGTCAGTCACTCAGTCAGTCAGTCAGTCAGTCAGCCAGCCAGTCAGTTAATGAACATGCTGTAATCTGATTGTCTGAGCAAACGCATGCTATCAGCTATAAAATAGCAACGTTTTCTTGTTTCCAGAAGTATCAGAGGAGGCTTTACAAACTGGAAAAAACTAAATTCGATTTCTGAGAAGATTAAAATTATGGAAGTACACCATTATGCTAGGTTAAAGCATCAATATTGTTGAATGAACTGATGTCAGGCACATGCACAGTTGCAAGCTTTAAACTGAAATGGCATTTCAATCTGCCCACAATTTTGCTAAAGCGTGAAGTTTAATACCAATACCGTAGAATTCAAAAATAACGCCCCCCCCCCCTCCCCCGCGAAAATAACAGCTCCCCGAAAGTAACCTAATTTTTTGCCTTCCTATTGAACCCCGAAAGTAACGGCTCACCCGGAAGTAGCGGCCCTTTGAAGAAGTCACTAAAAGACAAACTCTCTGATCTAAAGCGCAATGCGGATGGAACACTGAACAACTTGGGATTTTGTTTCGAACTATAAAACTGAGTGTTTCCCAAAACTATGATTTATAAGGTGTATTCTATCGGCAGAGTCAAATGATATGCTGCAGTGTATCGAAGTGTAATGAGTTGCATTGCGATATAATGCAATCATTATACTTTCGCCCAACAGCACCAACGATTAGGGCCTTTTTTGTTTATACAGTGTTTCGTTTATGTGGGTACCTCTTGGAACATAAAAAAAACGAAACTTTCAATTTCATGGGTTGCGCGTCCGCTTTGTCTGAAACGACTGTTAAGTACAAACGTTTTTTTAACCTTTCGAAAGTAACGGCTACCCGAAAGTAGCGGCCCCTTTTGCCTGCTAAATCCAAGAGTAATGAGGGCCGTTACTTGCGGAATTCTACGGTACTTAATTTTTAGATAAGTAACTTTGGCGTCATCAACTATCACCTCATAGAGATCTCGAACTCACAATCTAATTGTTAAAAAGTATTCTTAAGAACTAACTGGTATAAAATTTATTATAAATTGATTTTGCAGGTGAATGTAAGGAGTACATGAAAAGATATATGAAGTGCTTGAGGGAAAATAATAATGGGAATCACATGTGTAGAACAGAGTCAAAGGATTATCTTCAATGTAGAATGGACAGGTACCGTTACTTTGTGGTCAGTTAGACTACAGTTGGTAATGTAATAGAGTTTTAAGCACCGAGCTACACTTCCAGTTCTTTACTTTGAACCTTTCCACTTGTGATGTAGGTCTAGTTTAGTATTTCCATGCATGCTCCCATTTTCGCAGCTGTTGTCTCATCCACTGTTCCCTGATCCCTGTTCTCTGTTCCCGTTTTCCCGTTTCCGTTCCCGTTTCCCCGTTCTCTGTTTTCCATTTCCCTGTTCCTCGTTCCCTGTTCCTCGTTCCCCGTTCCCCGTTCCACATTCTCCCGTTCCACATTCCCCCGTTCCCGATCCTCGTTCCGCGTTCTCCGTTCCCCGTTCCCCTTTCCCCGTTCCCCGTTCCTCGCTCCCTGTTCCCGTGTTAGCAGTAGCATCTGTTCTCAAAAGATGTGATCATGAAGGGAAAATCCATGGGTGCAATTTATTTCTCCGGAGACGCTGACGCAGACGTGATTTGAAGATCCATCTCTGCAGTTCAGGACGTTCAGTTTAGACTATTAAGTGGTAAGAATGCGTTTAAGTGGTAAGAATGCATTTAAGTGGTAAGAATGCGTTTAACTGGTAAGTTATTGAATAATAAAACAACCCTGTCTGATCATGTGGAATATAAGCAGCAGTGTCACACAGCTTATATGCCAATTGAATATCAAAGTTCAGTTTTGCCGATGCGTTTACGGCTTCTTTGCAGTAACGAAACTGCTGTGCACCCCCTAAGTCTTTGTCTCTACACTGTTCACATTGACACCTGTAAATTGTAAAGCCTTCTACGAGCAGCTGCAAGCAACCTTTGAGAGCACCCATCACAGAGACCTTTTTCCAGTGATGGGCGACCTGAACGCAAAGGTCGGCTCTGAGACTGTGAATTATGAGAGAGTGATGGGAGGAGAGGGATGCGGAGTACAGAATGACAACAGAGAGGTTGATAGAGTGGTGTATATCCAACAACATGACCATTGGAGAACTCTATTCCCGCATTGCAACATCTACAAACTTACCTCGACTTCTTCGAATGGGTGGGATCAGAACCAAATTGACCATGTAATGGTGACCAGCAGGTGGCGCCGCTCCATGCTACAAGTCAGAAGCTGATGTGTGCAGTGATTACCACCTTGTGACTACTCGTATGAGGCTGAAACTCAGAGGAGCAGGGCCCAAGAAGCACATCAAACCTCGATACGACATCAGCAGACTACAAGAACCCAGGACTAAAAGCACCTGCAGCTGAGGAAAAGGGTTCAATTACTTAGCCACATTAAAGAGCCAGAAGACGAGGAAGACGATCCTGTGAATCAACAGTGAAAACAAGTGAGGAGCATCCTCGATGAAGCTATAGTGAGAACTGTTTGGAGATGCAGAAGACAAGGAAGAGGAAAGAATGAATAACAACGGTCTCGTGGCAAAACATCAAGGAGAGGCGCCGGCTGAAGAAGATCAATGTCAGCAGGTCAGCCTGGCTTTAGAGAACTACAGGGAAAAGTACTCAGAAGTCAACAGGTGGATCGAGAGAAAGATCCGAATTGACAAGATCGTTTATGTTGAAGAGCTGGCAAAGTAAGCTGAAGAAGCAGCGTGAAAAGGAAAGCAGAGGAACATCTACAAGATTGGTCTGTGAGAAAAAGGGTGGTAGCAAGAATGTTCCCATACGATACAAGCAGGGGCACCTCCACACCTCTGAGAAAGACCAGAAGGCACGATCGGTTGAACATTTCAAGAAAGTCCTCAACAAACCAGCACCAGAAGAGGAGCCTGAGATACCAAAAGCTGAAGAGGACCTAAACACTGAAAATGGACCACCAAAGCTTGAAGAGATCATCACTACTATCAAGTCTGTGAAGAATCACAAGGAACCCAGCATAGACTGCCACAATGCTGAACTGTTCAAGGCTGTTGCTGTGGCCAAAGCAAGCATCCTGCAGGCACTTTTCAGCACCATATGGAACTCAACAGAAGAAAAATACCTGATGACTGTAATCAAGGCATCATCATCAGGATACCGAAGCATTACACTATTATCCATCCCCAGCAAGATCCTAGTAAGATCCTAGCAAACATCATCATCAAGCGCCTATCACTGGCTGTGGACCTCAAGCTTTGAGAGGAACAGGCAGTTATTTTAGAGGGTGCAGATTCAGTGATGAACAGTGGAGTTTTTCCTTGTTTTTTACTGGGCATTATTACCAGGGACTAGTCTTGTTTTGGACTGGTGCACTGCAGAGGACCCAGATCAAGGGCATCAGATGGATCCCCTTATCTTACCTGGATTACTCTGACGATGTAGTCTTTCTATCAGACACCAACACATATGACAACAGTTTTTTTTTCGACTACTTGTGGCTAATTACAGGGTAGTGTATAAATTAACTATTTGGTTGGTTTTTTAACGTTTTTATTAGCTTTCCAAAAATAACTAACCATTTAATAGGGTGGATTGCTAGTTCCTTTTTATTTGACTCCATTAGCACGTTAATGCAGGAAAACTGCCGGTGATTTGTAAGAGAGTACCCACCGGAGCTCCGGCGGGAGCCGGGTCTTACTGAAAGCACTGCACCAGAATATGTTTTGGAATTATAGTGTTAAAGGCTTTGTGGCATGGCTAGCCTGTGTATATATTAGTAGAACCAAGAACAGTGGTCTGCTTGTGATGTACAATGTATCAAATGTGTCCCCATCAGTCAGTAGCCTAATTTTCCTCAAAGAATGTTCAATTATTAAAAGTATAATTATCTCAGAGTATTGTTTTTGTTGTCATCTTAGAGTGGTACTATGATCAAAGTTTTCCCCTTGATATTTTAGGTGTATCACATAGAATTCTATGAAAGAATAAAAATGCTGTTTGCCATTTGCAAATGTCTGCATTAGTTCCGGAATTTTGATTGGATTAATGAACAATACACTTATACCATATTTGGAATGCTAAGCACCAGGACCTCTCCTGTAGTGGCGGAAAAGATATCAAAGATGCCTTACATTGAAGCAAGTTTTATGGAAGGGACAGAAAAGGTAGGTTTGCATCAAGATACCAAACTATTTTTGAAGAGGTTCATTTTAAACAAAGTTCATTAATCCAATCAAAATTCAAGGATTGGATCAAGTCTTGTTTTGAATTTTCAACACTTCACTTGAATGATGGACTATTGAAACGAGTAATGAAATCAAATGTCCGATAATGAACTCATTCATTCACCCTTGGCAGGAACGCTTGAGCTGTTCTGACTGTAGATGTGGAACTTATCACTAGGATTGATACTTTAATGTAGACTATTTGGATTTTGTTTTTTTTGGAAAATTGACTAAAGAGGGAGTAATATGCGTGAGACTACGTGTGAATTAGGATGGCGTGTTCGCGTGTACGCAGTCCATGATATAAAACCGCTTGCCAGACTCTCAGAGAAAACACAGAATTGAAGTATGAATGCTTCAAGTATGATGACAGTAACAAGAAGAAATTATATAAAGTGTTTGTCAACATTATGTGTAATGTGCAGGAAAGAAAATTTGATAGTCAAACATTGGAATAGATGTATATCATTTCAATTGGTATCCTTGATAGAGAAGTATTAAGTTCACTTTAGACATTTACATGTAGCTACTACTATATCAAGGCAGTTTGTACATTATACACTCACTTTTGTGTGTTTTGATCTCTATAATGCTATTGAGATTTTATGATGCCTCTTACATTTGTAAGTATTCAAATTTCCTTCTTGCTGCAACAGCATTTCTCCCTTTTTTATCCACTCTTTTTTGGGGGCTCCAGTTTATGTTTACTTATTATTTCACTACAGTACAGTGTGATGAGTTTACTTTGTCACTGAATTTCCAAGGAGGTGGTGAGGTCCACTGAAGTTTTTTGTTGGCATTCCTGTACAGTAATGGCTGGAGTTGTAAAATGTGTTTCCAACTTTCTAATTATATGCCATTGAACATACTAATTTCATATTGGTCGTGAGCAGTAATGTTCCTTTTGTTCTTTCTGTGTTCGGAGAAGTTTAGCATTTTGCGATCTTGGTGTGTTTGAGGAAATTTGGCATAGTTATCTGTAGTTGTCACATTTTTCCATGGAGTAGGCATTTGATTACTTGTGTTCTTGCCAATTCCGAATGAAGCATTTCAGTTTGTTGCAGCTGTAACCTAATTTATAGACATAACAACACCGAGCGTGTTACCATCTTGTTTCTGTCGCTTGCATAATTATTGTGGTTGCAGATACTGCAGAGTTGCTGTCGTTTCCATACTTCATGTACATCAGTTGTTGACAGTAGGAAATTCTGCACCAATAATACACACAAAAAAATCATGGGTTACAATGTAACTTACAAGTGCACAAATGAACTTAATATGCTTAATTATCTAGTTGTATTGTTTTGTCCCTCCCCCTCTTACCGTAATTTCCGGCAGTTTACCCGCATGGCAGATTACCCGCACCGGTCGTTTTTTGCCAAAATGAGAAAAAAGATTCAGCAGATTACCCGCACTGGCAGATAACCCGCACCAAAAAACAAAAGAAAGTTATGCTA